GTCTATAAAGTCATTGGGTAGATTTCAATGGTAATGTTTATCACCTCTACTAATTAGCATGACATAAATTTCCATGCTTCCTCCTCAAATATAATACATTTTTTAAAAATTTGTTCATTTTTTTGGTGTGTATGTATATTATACAGAACATCCCAAGCCATCTCATTCGACTATACACCCACTTCCCAGATGGCACCCTCCCATAGCCTCCCTCCCCCCACTAAAACCCTTATGCTCTGATATCCCTGCTACTGTCTGCTGTGTTGTCGGCACCCCAGCCGTTCCCCACTACTTGCCCTTCTGGTGAATCTAGTCAGCCTATCTAGAGGTCTTTGTTTTAGGAGGGTCAGCTGTTCTTCATCTAGTGGTAATCAGTTGTCAGTATTCCTTTAGATAAGATTGGGGTCTGCTGTTCATTTTCCCAGTTCTATGCTGGGTTACTATCTGGGAATCCCTTTGGCCACCCTGGCCAACAACTCAAAAAAAGGTATCACCTGTCTGGCATTGTTGCTTGTTATGTAGCCTTTAGCTATACATATGGACTCTTATGAAATTATAGTGGCCCTTTTAATCTTTGGTTATACTTTCCTTTTGGGTGTTTAAGGCCACACAGTTGGCCCAGATAAACCAATTTATTTTTACTCTTAAGGTCGTTTGAGAATCTGTTCCTCAGGGGTCACATGGGCTTGGGAGGAGCCCCTGGCTCCTTTCTTTTACCTGTTCCACCTATGTAAAGGTCCTGCTTGACCATGGTTGGCTTCCGTTTAGGTACTTTTAAAGGACATTAGGAACTTCAGGTGTGCCCACTAAGACGCCCTTCATTCCAAGAGGACCAGACCCAATCATTTGCAAGCAAGTTTCGAGTTATTTTGCAACTGAGCTGTGTCCTTCAACCTTATCTCTGGTCACTACATACTTAATTTATTCCATTCCGGCTAGGTTTGCTGAGAAGTGCGCAGGTGCAGAAGCGCTAGGAAGGGAAAGGCTGGGTGGAGAGGGCTCAACAAGGAGCTGTGCGCGCTCTTCTGCTTTCCCCAGCTCTGGGTACGGCTTGGGTTTCCTCCATGCGTAAAGCTAAATCTTTCTGAAGCTCCTTTAGTAACTGGAACTGTCACCTACCAAAGGCAAACTCTCAGGTTTCTCCTCGTGAGCCACAGGTGAAACAAAGCCGGGCAGGGTAAGCAGGAGGGGCTCAGAGGCACCCCTAGTCCGCCACCGTGCTGCTCCCGGGGTAGTCTGCCCCTTCGCCGGCCCATACCCAGTCATCAAAAATAACCAGTTAAACAGGCCCGGAGAAAAGGGAGCGGATTGCGCAGGTCCCAGATCAGCGCTCAGAGGGATTGGAACGGAGGACTGGCCCTTGCTGCCAAATCAGAATCCAGTTGGAAACCGAGGGACTCGGTTCTCTGCCCGCAAAGCCGATCCAAAAATAAAAAATAAAAAAGAGGAGGAACATTATGGTGAGTTCCTGACACCAAAGGAACTATCAGGCAGGTGACCCAGCCAAATTTCTACCGTAGGGTGTTTCTAACCGGGCCTGGAGGAAACTCACCAAAGTTGGCAGACTCGCAAAGTTAAGGCTGGGTGGGGATTCTGATGACAAAAGGCCCCCCTGGGGAGCCGTATCCCCCTGCTGTGAGCCACCCCAGGGTGTCCGCACGGAGGTGGGGTGCACGGCTGGGGTTCCTCCGAGCGCCCTCCCGGCTCCCCACAGCACTTACCTGGCTTGGGATGGGAACGCGGGGTACCACTCCGCGGCGGAGTACAGCGCGAAGAGGATCCCGGAGCAGGCAGCGGCCAGTAGGAGCAGCAGCCGGAGGAGCCAGCGGCGCGGGAGCTCCTTGCAAGTGGGGCCCATGGGCACGCTGTCCAGCGCCTGTCCGCTGCGCTTCGGGGCGCACAGGCGAGGCCTGGCCGGGCAGGACTTCTGGAGGTGGCCGCTCCACTCTGCCCCGCCCTATCCTTGCAAGTGGGGCCCATGGGCACGCTGTCCAGCGCCTGTCCGCTGCGCTCCGGGGCGCAAAGGCGAGGCCTGGCCGGGCAGGACTTCTGGAGGTGGCCGCCCCACTCTGCCCCGCCCTGCCCACCGCCTGCAGCTCCCAGACCTGCAGCTCCGCCTCCGGCCCCCACCCGGCCCGAGGTCGCCGCCCTTTAGGACACTGGGCATCTCTAGGGTCCCGGGAAACTGAAATGCAGTCACGGTTGCCTGGAGCCTCCTGACCACCACCCCCCCACACACACACACACACATGCTGGACTGTCTCAGAGACTTCGTCACCACTGGTTGCTCCGGCCAGAGCCACACCCAGGACTCACCTAGCCCAGAGCTGGGCGAGGTGCTTCGTCCCCAGGGTCAAAGGCCCGCACGTTCAGTGGGAGACCGGAAAGGCGCGGGGAGACAGGGCCACCTGCTGCTGTGGCTGAGCACTGCGCCCTTGGGGATACTGGCTCCAGGCTTCAGGTGGAGGGTGGATGGCTGCTGTGAAGCAACCCGGAGGGCTCCCCTCGCTAGGATCATGGGATCTGTCGGGCTATGCCCTAGTACCTCAGGTACTTGCAGAACTGCAAAGAGGATGGAGAAAAATCCCTTAGCTCAGATTCCGGGTTGGAGATGGAAGGAGTCAGGCAGGGGGCCTGCCGGGTGAGGATGCACAGGGGGCTACGGCTGACATCCCTTTATTTGGTGACTATGCAGAAAAGTCAGGCCCCTCCCGCATTGTGCTGTTTTTACCAGTGGTGGCTAGCATGTGGGGCTGAGAGGCGGGTGGGAGAGGAGGTGGAGCAGGAGAAACCAGGGGGACTGGAGAAACTGGCGGGTTCTCTCTGGAAGCAGAGCCCTTCCTCTCTGTGAGCTCTGAGTGAGATACTGTATTCTCCAGACATCAGTGTCTTAGACACCAGAATCCTGTGAAAAGCCCCAGACAGGGAGGATAAATGCACCACCCCCATACCCTATACTTCACTTTGTTCTTCAAAGCTGAGAAAATTTGGATGCAGGAAATGATGCTTGCCCATTTTCAAGACTTCAGTAGGCTTTTTAGGCTTGGGTCTGTGATCAGGAGTCTGGCTCAGACTCTTCCACTTTGATGTGGGCCAGGACAGAGTCCCTGAAGAGCACACACTGCACAGGTCTTTTATTTTTTAAACATTTATTTATTTATTTATTTATTTATTTATTTATTTATTTATTTATTTAATGTGTATGGGTGTTATGCCTACATGTATGTAAGTGCACCTGCATCATGCAATGTTGTGGTTAGAAGAGGGCGTTGGATTTCCTGGAACAAGCGTTATGGATGGTTGTTAGCTGCCATGTGGATTCTGGGATCCCAGAATCTTCAAGAACCCAGGTCTTCTGCAAGAGCAGCCAGTGCTCTTAACCGCTGAGGCACCTCTCTAGCCCCTGTGCCCGTCTTATTTGTCCCAAGGCTGCTGAGCATGCTGCCCTTCTCATGGCCATAGCCAGGATTTATGGATTGAAGCTTTTTAAAATTACATTTATTTTTGAATTATTATTATTTATAAGTATGTATGTGGGTGCACAGGCACACGTGGAGTTCAGAGGACAACTTGTGGGAATCAGTTCTCTCCTTCTATCATGTGATTTCCTGGGGTCAAACCCAGGTCATCAGACTTGGCAACAAGCACGTTTACCTGCTGAGCCATTTTGTCCAACCTGGTTTCAAATTTTCTTTCCTCTTCAATCTTTGTGGTTTTTCTTGGTCAAAACCCCTGTAGCTATTACCCTTGATCGTATCCTTCTTATGTCTCCTCTGTGGTTAGTAGACCTCAGACCCCCCCTGAACCTCCAAATATCCCCCTTTGGATTTGTACTCACAAGCTTTTCACCTCCTTCATGGAGAAAAAAGGCATCACTGATTTTTCAACTTTCTAGACCTTTCTGAGAGGGGGGTCTGTTCTCTTCCTAGGGGGCCTGTTTTCCTGTGTGAGGGTTGACCCTCCCCATCTGTGTTAATGACCCAGGTCTACCATCTTCAGTGCCCCATGATGACAACTTCACAGTCCAAAACATCCTGTCCATCTCCTGGATCTCCCTTCTCTCTCCCATCCATAGCCTCAAACCCTCCAGTCTCTCCTAGCACCTCAATCCTCCCCAAGAAGCTTTCTTTCCTAATGGGGGCTGGGGGCATCTTCAGTTCATTATCTGAGCTACTGTCTTCTCAGTACCCCAGATTCCCTTGAGGGCCTGGCTTTCTGCCCAGCAAAACTCCCAACACAGATTCATGCTTGGATCTGTCCTACAGCACCCCTCTCCCATGTTGCGCACTCCCTAGTCTGGTGAGCACCTCATTCCAAACGAGAAGGGTATCGCCAGAAGTACAGTCTCCGCTGGGCTGTCCTCGCCAGCCACCTCCCACTGCCCAGTCAGCCCCAGGTCCTGGGGCACTCTTCGATGATTCCAGAATACAGTAAGCCTTCTTCTCATCTCTCTCACACCTTTGAGAAAATAGTGTTGACAGGCTGGAGATGTGGCCTACCTAGAGCACTGAAGTTCAATCTCCAGCATCGAATAAACCAGTTATGGTGGGACACACCTGTAATCTTTTTTTTTTTTTAACTTTATTATTTTGACTTTATGTGTATGAGTGTTTTGCTTGAATGTATGTAAGAGCACTCTGCTTGCAATGCCCTGCAGAGACCAGAAGAGGGTGTCAGACCCCCTGGAACTGGAGTTAAGAATAGTTAGGAATGGTTGTTAGCTGCCAAGTGGGTGCTGGGACTCGAACCCGGGTCCTCTGGAAGAACAGCAAGTGTTCTTAACCACTGAGCCATCTCTCCAATCTGGACGCACCTATAATCTTAGAAGGTGGAGGGCAGGAGGATCAGAAGTTCAAGGTCAGGTCATCCTTGGCTATATAGTGAGTTCAAAGCCAACCTGAGATACATGAGACTTTTTTTTTTGGCCTTTTTGAGACAGGGTCTTCCTGTAGCCCCAACTGGCCTAGATCAGGCTGGCCTTGAACTCACAGAGATCTGCCTGCCTCTGCCTCCCCAGTGCTGGGATTAAAAGCTTGGGACACCATGCCCAGCTCCATAAAACTCTTCTTGACTGTTGCTTTTTATTGCCAACTTGACACAATGTAGAATTGCCTGTAAAAAGCCAACCAGGTTTACAGGCCAGCTGGGGCTACAGAGAGACCCTGTTCCCCCCCAAAAAAAATGTTACTTTCAACTTCGATGTCTCTAACTACTGTCCTTAACTGGGAAGAGTCTGAGATTTTGCCCCCTTATCAGTTGACAGGTTAGCCCTGAACAGTTCTGGAAATGCCAGCAGATTGGGTTGGACAGTGACATTTTGACCCAGCAACATTGGCCTTGTGCCGGTGTTGGATTCTGACCCTGGAAGCTCCACACGGGTGAGGGAGTTTGTAGCACAGGGGGAAGCAGGATATTCCGTAATGGGCTGGCACACCGGTGCTTGTTGGACAGACAGTAGCCCTTGTTATCCTCGGTATAGGACAAAAGGTGCCCTCTGCTCCAGGGGGAGTCCTGTCTTTATCTCGCAGGGCTGGTTGCTTGACAGGATAGTCTGGAGCAAAAGGGCCATTGTGTCTGTCCTCACTGGTGCAGAGATGTGACTGCTCCACCACGGTCCTGCTCACGCCTTGCAGCCTCCCTCCCTTCAGCTCTGCGCTGTCCTCCCACCTTTCATTCAGGTGTGCCTTTAGTAGCCGTCCCTTCCCCCTTTGGGGTCCCTATTCCAGCTTATAAACATGCTTCCAAGATTGGCAAGATGGCTCAGCCGGGGAAGGAGCTACAGCCGGCCGCTATGCCTGACAACCTGACTGACCTCAGGGATCCGCAGGGTGAAAGCAGAGAACTGGCTCCTGCAAGTTGTCCTCGGATCGTCACATGTGTGCCGTAGTGTGTGCCATAGTGTGCGGAACCCCCCCCCAAATAAATCTAATTTAAAAATGCAAAGCAAAAGGTCATACAAAACCCTGTAGAAATGGCAACCCTCTTAGTTACTGTCCTAGTTACAGCCTATTGCTGCGGTAAAACACTGACCAAAACCATCTTGAGGGAGGAAGGAGTTTATTTGGCTTCCAGCTTATAGTCCATCATCAAGGGAAGGCAGGAGCCCGGAGGCAGGAACTGAAGCTGAGGCGGAGGAGGAACGCTGCCACTGGCTCGCTTCACCTGGCTTGCTCAGCTACCTTTCTTATGCAGCCCAGGCCCACCTGCCTAGGGATGGCACCGTCCACTGTGGGCTGGGCCCTCCTGTGTTAATTAGCAATTAAGAAAATGTCCCTCCAGGGCTGCAGAGATGGCTCAGTGGTTAAAAGTGCTTGCTGCTCTTGCAGAGGACTCAAGTTAGATTCCCAGCACCCACATCAGGTGACTCACAACAGCCTGTACTTCCAGCTTCAAGGGGACCCGATGCCCTCTTCTGGACACCCACACAAACACACACGTACACGTAATTTTTATTTTTTTATTTTTTTTGGTCTTTTTGCGACAGTCTCCCTGTAGCCCCAGCTGGCCTGGAAATTGCTATGTAGACCAGGCTGGCTTTGAACTCACAGAGATCTGCCTGCCTCTGCCTCCCCAGTGCTGGGACTAAAGGTGTGGGCCACTACACCTGGCTACACATAGCTTTTTTGAAATGCCCCCACAGACATGCCCACAGGCCAATCTGATGGAGGCAGTTCTTCAACTGCCATCTCCTCAGTTAGAGCTTGGTTTGTGTCAAGTTGACAAAAACTGTCAGTCTCTTTTTTTATCCACATTGTGGGGACTTGGGAATAGCCGTGGGAGCTACTCTGTCTCTTGTCTTTGTGTTTGTCTTCTGTGGTTATTGTTCCACTGTGACTGTCCCCTCTGAAGTCACCAGAGACTTCTGAGTGGTCC